TCAGGGTTATTCTGATGAGTAACACCATTCTAAAATGTTACATACTGGAAATGATCATAAGCAGCCAGGGTATCAATGCAACAGGTGAAATATGTTTTTTTTATTAAGATGTTCATAGCTGATAAAGATTTTGCAGATGACGTTGCATCACAGAAGGTAAGAACACAAAGCTGTACTTAAGTTGGGTGTATCACTGTACCAGATGTAGGGTTAATATAAAGATAATATTAATAGTGTGTTGAAATGTTGATGAACATAGTTTCCAGAAGGTGTGGTGTTACATTATAGAAGAACATAGGTGTATATTTATACTAAGTTTATCTTATCGACTCAATATGATAACATTTAATAGCCTTCAAATATCTTGATGTTAACATGAAACGCGAATGATTTTTCAGTGGTTTTAAGAAAGGTTATTGGAAACATTCTGTTTAAAAAAATTGTATTCAGTTTGAACAACTATATCCAAAATAGTAAAGCATTTGATCAAAATGATGCAGAGACTTGTAGCCTATAGGATAAAAATCTTATAATTCAAATCAGAATATTGGACCTCTCGATACTCTCGTTTCAATTGATACATAACTATACAAATTTCAATTCAGTGCAATACCACTTTTGTAAAATAGTAGGCTACTTATTCTAAGCAGAATGTAAAATAATATTAAAAACTTATCGCAACATGTAATAAGTCTTCATAATTTTATAATCAATTTTTTCGATCTTGAGTGTCAAAAATTTCTAAAAATTAACCAGATGTGTCAAATTGTTTATTTGGATGTTTAAAATTAGGCTGGTAAGGTTAGCATTTTGGCCCCGCCTCGTTCTTTTAAGGGTAGCAAATGGCTACTGTCTGTCATAATCGTTGAATTCGGAATGGATATTATCGTAAGAATTATCAGCATTGAAAGAAACCTGACTCCAGCCTTATGATTATTTGTTGATTAAAGTGACCGACCCACGCTGGTTTCTTTGTTTATTTTACTCTTTGAAAGGAGATCTGCACGCAGACGTCCATCTTAAGTTTCATTCAAGCAGACGATCAGTTAAGGCCAATACTTAGGAATTTTTTTACCACTTTTACATTGGTCTGAACATACAATCTTCAGACAAACGTTCATAGTCGAGACTATTTAATTGTAAAATAAACTTCAATTTTTTAATTTTTCATTTCATTTAACTTAATTAATATATATTACCAAAAACTTCAAAATTTATCAAGCAGAATTCCGCCATTCCATTTTGTTATGCTTGTATCTAGGAAACTATAGATTTGGAATAGTTTACACTATCTGAAAGGAATCGGTCTTCAGAAGCCTAATTATTGTTATCTCTGAAGCTAAATAAAGCCAGTTTCTTTTCACTTTTTAAAACAGGAAGTTACCTTTTGTGAGCTATGTTTACCTTTTGTATATCGAAGCGAAGTTATGGTTACCTTTTGTATATCGATGTGAAGTTATTATTACCTTTTGTATATTGAAGGAAAGTTATTGTTACCTTTTGTATATCGAAGAGAGTTATTGTGACCTTTAGTATATCGCAGAGATGTTGTTACCTTTTGTATGTCGAAGCCCATATACCTCTTGTATATCGAAACGAAGTTATTGTTACCTTTTGTAAGCTCAGCTATTGTTAAGATTTGACTGAAGAAACCAAATTACTGTTACATCTTGAACATACATTAGGTGATTACTATACAGAAATAAGTAGCACTAACGTCTTATTAAAGAAGCCAGATGTTAACCAGAAACAAAGAATTAAATCTCATTGACCTGATTCCTGTCAGTTTCTTTTAATTTATGTCAAAATTGAAGATTTCAGACATGACGAGCTTCTGTTTAAATAACCAAGAACTTCAGACAAAAAAATCCAGTAAAGAAATGAGGAGTTGTGTGCGCATCTGTGAACTTGGATATGTTTAAAACAATTTAACGTGTGCAAGATTAAAATGTTAATTTAATTGTAGTTCTTTTGCAGATTGGAAGTTTTCTCTTAACTGGAAGTTTTTTTTTAAGTGTGATTAATCTAAAATGTCGGATATAGAAAATGAAGTTTTTGAAGCAGAGGAACGCAACAACGAAAGGTAAAATGTTTTTTTAATATAGTCGGTAGTTATTCTGTACAGTCAGGCAGAATCGTTTTCATGTCCAGTGATCTATGAAAATGTAATGGTGTTGGAAGGAATAAGAAAGTTTATTACGCCAATTCTTCAAATCACGTTTTGTCATCTACAACAGAAACTTTATTAAATCCGAATACAGACTTTTGAATTGTAAACTCATGTCTAGACAATCAATAGCTCGTCATTTGAAAAGTCATGAACTTAATAATTCTTTGGCGACCAAACCTTTGTCAGCTTCGTATCCATATGACGACGAAGTGTCTTACGAATACAACAATACAACATACAACATCCTTGTTAAATATATATAATTATGTATTGCATTGCATACAACAATACCACATACAGCATAATATATATTTAACAAGGATGCTCTATGTTGTATTGTTGTATGAGTATAACATTTGCAAGCATAAATCAAGAAAACACTCACAGGTGTTGGCAGAAATGCCATGTTGTTTATCAGATAAAGAATCGGTAGATCTAAATGATAGATATATCAAACAAGAAGCTATTAACAATGTTTACAGATGTCAATACATCGCTTGCCAAAAGAACTAAGAAATCTCACTGGATTATCAAGATAATCAAGGATTACCGTGACAATGACCGTGTAAGGGCTTTTGCCTGTTATATGGGTGTCACCATCCCGCGCCCCCTGGCAATTCACCTTTATCTGTGATATACTACAATCTCCGAATTTTCTTGTAATTTCTGATGAAGTCATCTATTAATAGCCCATGCCCATTTTGCATGTGTAGATGCATCAATTAACTTTTGTTTAAAAGCCATTTATTTTCTTAATGATGTTCATCACTGAGTGCTTGTTGTTTTGAAATTATTCGGAATGAAAAGCATTTTTTTTGTCTTAATTTAAGAAATTTCGTTTTAACTAACTTAATGTGGAGGTGGCTGTGGTCCACTGATGTGTCGCTTTCCCTAAAATTCCCGGTGGAGAACCTCCTATTGATGTTTTGGTATTTGTTATTTTGGCGTTGCTCACTCTAATGTTCTCGCCCAAATGATGTTCCATTTGGTTCTTATACCTTTAGTCAAAGGCAAATAAATCCCACTCAGGTTGAGGAAATGTAAATGATTAGTGTCGAATTAAATCGAAATATGTGTAAAAAATGTTCTGAATTAAATGGTGTATAAAAAACATACACAGAATGTTCAGAATGGGTGGGGTACTTTTACAAACTTGCAAAAATAATGAAACTTTTCTACATCTGTTTGATTCTTACTAATATTCGGTCTGCTTTCAACTCGCAAGTTTCTAGTTAGACTTGGTTGTAATGAATGCGTTTGCGCAGTGTAAGAGTGTTTAGATTAGGATTCAGTGAGCTTTGTACTTCTTGGTAGGTGGTGCTGTAAATTTGGTGTGGTCGGATTTCCATGTAGAGTTGAGATTGGACTAAAATTGGTTGAGGGATTCTGAATTTACGATATAGTCTGGCAAGGAATTCCATTAATTCAGTACTCTAATGGAGAAAAAATTCATTCGAATTTCCAGTATTGCGTAAGGTTTAGCTAGTTTTTTTACTGCGACCTCTGTTGATTGATCTTGTGACTGGATGCGGCATGTATTCACTGGTGATTTGATCTATTCCTGATTAAATGCGGTATATCAGTATATTGGAATGACATCAGCACTTTTACTTCGATATTCCAGAGTTTAAAGTGCTTTGAGTCGATCTGGGTAGTTCAGGTTTCTTAGGTGTTAAAGTAACTTGTTGAAACGACGTTGTACGTTCTCAATCATTTCTATGGTATTTGTCTGCGCTAATAAGGACGGGCAACACCATTTTCTGTCCAACGACGGAAAACCGTAATTTTTTATTATCAACTGTCGAGGGATCTTCAACCTTCACAACTGTAGTACACTGGGTCCAAGTTTATGATCATATCCGAGCGACTAGACGCTTTTTCCATGTCATCCCGGCCTGCAGTACTGATACGGGAAAAAATCTGAAGATGTTATCTCAAAATGAAATAAGTAGAGGTAATGGACTAAGTGTAGATGTCGAAGTGCTTTCAATATATATTCTGATGAGAATATTGGAATTTCTTGATTTAAAGAATGTAAAATCCTCATGGTACACCACAAAAAGTCCAATAGCAGCCTATGTTCATTACAGCTTTAATATCGTAATATTATATCGTAACAATCTAACATCGTGAAACGGCATCTGGTTTGTGGACATGTGTTTGTAAAACCAAGCCACCGTATAGAATGGTATGTTAGTAATGTATTTCGCTAGTCTTTGTCTTATCTTATTATCATCTAAATATATTAAATACCAGATTTTGTTTTAACACTCATGGCACAGTAGGTGGCAATCCTTTGTTTCAAAGTTGAAAAACCTCTATCTATGAAGTCATCTAGAGAACTGTTTAGAAAATTGTTAAATACATTAACGATTCTTTTGAAACAATTTGACAAATTTTCACCAGCAACACCCTGATTAGAGATTTAATCATCATCTTGTGAGCTCCAAAGATCGATGGCATGATTGTAAAACCACAGAAGCATTACTTTCTGTGTTTGCATTCATTTATGCAAGGACATATTTAATAAATGTATATATATCATGCATATTATTCAAACGGAGACCTACTTGCGATATCCAAACCAGTATACATATGACCATTTTGAAGAAAATAATTTGGAGCTAGAGAATCACGCCTATAATCTTTAAACAAGAAACTTTTATCAAATTTCGCAAACTGCTCAACTTTATTTTGATCTAAATGGAATGTAATGTTCTACGTTGATGCAAATATAAGAAGTTTTAGTAAACAAATAAATATTCCCAAACCAGAATCGTAAAAATATACATAACGCACCCTTTCCAAAAACCTAATGTTACTTTGCGACTCATTTGAAAGGATCGGGATCATAATTGAAATGAACAAAATCCATTTTATAAAGGTCTTTCAAGCCTGTCATGACGTCATCAGGAACGGTTTTATAGGCACTTTCCAATGTTGACAGTCTTTGTCTTTTCCAACGATCTTCATAGCTTGCTCCTAAGCGCCTCGTCTTCAAGACTAGTTCTAGAAAAGCATCGGCAGTCATGTTTGCAGTGCCATTTAGAACATGTCTTGATCCGAACGGAAGGTAACCGTTAAATTCAAACACGGTCCACAATCGGACAGCAAGTTCGTTTGGTGTTAAACAGTCTTTCACTTCTCTCATCGTAATTCGTTTAAAATTGTAATCAACTAAAGTTTTCAGTTCTTCTTCTATCTGATATTTTGATCCTTCATCGTTAGCGAAAATATGCTCAATGCCTAATTGTTTGATAATGTGCTTTGAATCCTGCGAAAACGTCTCTAACTTTCCTATAAAATGTGGACGATATTGGCAAGGGTTACACATGTATTGAATCGGACGCCAGTGTTCGTTGAAGACTGCTGGGTTAGAAAGGAACTCTTTTAATGATAAAACGTACTTGAGAAATTCCAAAAAGGTCACATCATGACCGCACACTTTTGATTTTAATTTTTGCTTCTCTTTTCTTAAAGCCACAATGGCTTTAGCAGCTCTACCCCAGAAATCTGGCAGAAAGAATTTATCTAGGTAAGCCGACCACAGCCTAGAATAAGGATTCCTTACGAACATAAACCTTGTTTGCTTACTAATAAACTCTCTAGAAATGACATCAAACGTCATCCGCTTCATTCTCTTTTTAGGTCCATAGTGAGTAAAAAAGCGTGGTATTTGAAAAGGACTGTCCACATTAAATTTACCAGTGTCATTATGCAAGAACAACAGAACACGTTTCCAGAATGTTGACCCAACCTTCGCTACTGGACAATATGCTATGTTTTGGGCTTGATAAGTATAAATTTGACTGACTGCCCCATCGTCATTCTGAACACATGTATCATAAATATGTTCTCGAGCATTGATCATGTACACTGTCTTATTCTCTTTTTTGTTCCATCTCTTCAGCACTACTTCATTTACTGAAAATATATTTAAAATAGATGAAGAAAGATACCACTCTTAGTGCATAGATACAAGAAACTAGGTGCTCCATTAGAAGTGAGCAACATCCTGGCTTCACACCTGGGCAAGAAATGGTCCTGTATAAAACAATGGTTCGATAACATGTTGGGCAACATGTTGCCGAATAATTCTGTGAAAATGTGGACTTTGGAAGGAATTTGATGAGAAAAGTAGATTGGGGCATCTGCCATAATTTTTAGAATCTTGATTGCATGAAAAAGGGCAAAGAATGTGTAAAGCTGAGAGGAGCGTGTGGACGAAGCGTCCTTATACAAGAAGTTCCCCAGGATGTATGAGTCAGCATATGAGAATCTTCTACACAGCGGGAACTCTCAAAGAGACACCTGACCGAGGGACTCCATTTTGTTTACGCTTAAAGGATTCAGATAAACATGTGATTATAGATCATTTCTGATTGGATAAAACGCGAAAATAACATTTACATCTCGGTTACAAAAATAATCTTGTATTTATTTCGGCAGCGTTTGGACCTTTGATCCCCTCCTCCCCAGTTTTAAATGTATTATAATTGAATTCATGCCTTGAACTGTGGTCAGGTCACGGCACCTATGATTTATAGAAACCGTATTGCTTCTAAATATTGGTAATATAGATATAAGAGAAAAATACTTACTCGCGTCTGGATTTGTACATATCTGAATTATGCTATATAAACCAATTGCAGCAAGGGCACATATGAATAAATTCTTTGTTTTAAGATGCCATGACATCCTGAAAATGGCAATAAAAGAGCAAAACATATAGAGTGTAATAGCAAAGTGCTTCGGTGCTTAGATATTCGCAATGTAAGAATGTATTCACAACAATGGTTCGAACAACATTTAAGATTTCAATTTTTAAGAAACTTTCCTTGAAATAAATATGTTGAAGAATCAATCAATATTATCTCTCATTTGATGTGAACATTGCAGGAATTTTCAGAAATGTTTGGAACATATAATTCTTCATAAAAAAATTCTGTATGTAGTATTGAACGATATGAATCCCTCGAAACATAAATACGCTCTTAAATATAGTTTTTAATTTTTAAGCAAATTGCTTTTTCATATAGAACATGTATTTTGTTGTTTTCAAGTTTGACTTTGTGAGTAAAATCTAAAATTACTTGATATCGAAAGATTTGATATCGAAAAATTCGTGACGATACCGTCGGTTATTTCAAATAATTTTTCTTTAGTAGAATAACAGCGTTATCAGACCATTCAACAATTTAGAATTAAAACTAAAAACTAACGACAAAATCAGTTTAAAAATTACCATTCACTGGTTCTATTATTTTTTGTTTAAAGTGATACCACGTCTTAGAATTAACATAAAGTTTACGAATTTTAAACTTGGCAAATAAGAGCCAGTAGATATACCTGGTGTCATAAATAACATAACAGGATCTTTATATAATCCGATAAATCCAAAAAACTTAATAAAAATGCAATTAATGATTGAAAAACGCTTAATATCAAGATTAAGCGTTTTTCAATAATTACTAAGTTTTATGAATTTTCCAATTTTCCAGGGATTCTGTTGTAACTTTATGACACCTGGTAAATTCACTGATGAATATATACTCATATTGACCATTTCGAGAACTTAAATTTTATGTTCATTCTAAGACGTAGTATCACTTTAAAAACGTTCCCTGAACTATAAAACAATTCAACCATTTCACAAGACATACCCACCAATAGAGGCAAGTACCAAAGCACAAAGCTAATATTTTGAGTACAGGTCCGTGAAGCCACAAACCTTTTTTCTTACTTAGCTGAGATTGTACTCTTAGAAGCTTCTATAACAGGTGCCTAACTTATTGTATCAAAGAAATAAATATCAATCTAGTCCTTAGGTCACAATGTTTCTGGCATTATCACATTAAGTTTTAAATTTTACCCTTTTCGTGATATGCGGGGCATTAAGAATTTGAGTACAACATGAGTATAATGAATGAGAAAATGTTTTGTAGCCCTGATCGACAGATAGCATACGTACCTTGCATATTACTGCTAATAATCACGGTGTCATTTCATTATGAAACAAACAGTCATTTAGTCAAGCTGCAAGCTGAGTATGAGAGTGGAGACGTCAATGTTTCATACTCCGTACAGCTGCAACATTAATGCTTCTCTAATGATTTTATAGCCTATTGATCATTAGTCTTTGATCGCCATTATTGATAATCTATGAAACGTCGACAGGTGGCGTCAATTTTTGTTAAGTCTAAACATCATAAAAGGTGAAGTTATACGCCCACGTCACATTTCATATCTGAACATGTAAAATCCGAAGTTGCGATTTTTAGCTCGTTAACACTCTAGAAGACACAATACTTTACATATTTAGACAAAACTTTATGAAATTGTCCAGTATCACCATTCTATGAAATCATTAAAATCAGAAATTATTAAAAAAAATTATTACTGCCAAATGTTCTTAAGTGAAAGCAAAGCAATGGGCGTATATTATCTTTCGCGACAAGCTATCTTTATATTACCTGTCAATAAAGTTCTGAATGTTACTTATCAAAATCAGTATCAGCAACTTATTAATGAATAAGAAAACTGAAGCAGTTAAATTTCGCGTCATTATGTTTGATGAAACTATTTTTTGTGCTTAACTTGAGTGTTGAATACATAAAATAGTCTTCAGAAGTACTAGAAATGAAAGAAAATCGCATAATTGCTTAAGAAAAACTTCAAGCTAGGATTTTTACTCACTATTTCTATATATGTCTTGTCTATATATCACAAAGTATCTTAAATTGGCGAGTCGTCAGTATAACATTCAAACGCGGATAATTCTTGACACACATGTATTTGAAGGCTCAAATTTCGACGGTGAGCTGTGAACACTGATGGGCTTAGCTATATAAATATCCAGTTTCTGAGACTAAGGTACGATAAGGTAAAAAGAAATGGTGCATATATATGTAAAAATTTAAGAATAAATTAAGGAATTGTAGGTAATCGAAACCTTAAGTAGAGCAATATGATTGTTATCCTATAATTCCTTATTTGATCAAGATTTTGGGTTTTACATGACTCTTTGATTGGTTTAAAATACTACCTTGGAGACAGACCTTTCTTGGATTACATCAGAAATCAAAAAGGATACAAAATTGTTATCAAATTTAATAAGATTGGGTTTCATGTTGTTCTTGTCCCATTGGTACAGGTTTGGTCAACTATCAATGTGAAAATAATGGAATACAAAGAAATATTTGGACTTAAAAGCTCGCACTATATAGTGTAATGGTATTATGATAGTGGTTATATCAATAGTCAATGTTTAGAGTTTTTAACATATGTTCTAGTAATTCTGTGAGGCTATTTTGAAAAGCAATCTTAAACTTGTTTCACCTTCAATTATTGTGGAAATGGTATTTCTTTAAAGTAGCATACGAATTAAAAAGCGTTGAATTCAACTAAAACAAAGACAAAATATTTTATGTCAAGTGTTTTGTAAAAGCTGACAATTTAAGAACACGAACTAAGCCAAAGGTTACATTTTCCTTTCGTCATAGAATTTCATCATTTTATATTTTGGATTAAGTTGTGGTTATTATCATGCTGAATCAATGCATTTCAATGAATATGTTGTCTCGAAGCCAAGGGTCCTAATTCATGACAAATCTAATGATCAAACAGTACTCCAGTGTAAATTTTTTGAAACATGCATCTGCTCAACACAATAACGGGCTGCAAGATTATGTTTGTAAAAGGAACATAATAGATAATCATTTCAACCTTCTCTTTAATAAATTACTTACAGTACTTACTTCCGTTATGTCACTTATCATAACATAAGAAGTATTTAAAGTTAAACATTCTGGTAATAACCCATGCTGGCAATTGATAGCTTTGTAAACTTATGAGCTGTAGAATGTAATGCTACCCCAATAAACACAAGTTTTTTTAACATCTGTTTAAAAACTTTGATCTTGGAAGGCGTTGATTGGCAATCTTGATAACTAAATACGAAATGAAAACCATAACAGGCTTATCATTTGTTTACGCTGCAGCATTTGTGATATAATTCAGGCCTAGGGTGCAAATGGGGCAACGTTATTCGTCATGCAATATAATTCCGGGCTAGGGAGTAAAGGGACAAACGAGATTCGTCATGCAATATAATTCAGAGCGAGGGAGTAAAGGGAACAATGTGATTCGTCATGCTATATAATTATGAGCTGGGGAGTAAAGGGAACAACGTGATTCGTCATGCTATATAATTCGGAATTGTAGAAAAGGGACAAACTAGATTCGTCATGCAATATAATTTTGAGCAAGGAAGAAAGGGAGCAACGTGATTCGTCATGCTATATAATTATGAGCTGGGGAGTAAAGGGAACAACGTGATTCGTCATGCAATATAATTATGAGCTGGGGAGTAAAGGGAACAACGTGATTCGTCATGCTATATAATTCAGAGCGAGGGAGTAAAGGGAACCACGTGATTCGTCATGCAATATAATTCAGAGCGAGGCAGTAAAGGGAACAACGTGATTTGTCATGCAATATAATTCAGAGCGAGGGAGTAAAGGGACAAACGAGATTCGTCATGCAATATAATTCAGAGCGAGGGAGTAAAGGGAACAATGTGATTCGTCATGCTATATAATTATGAGCTGGGGAGTAAAGGGAACAACGTGATTCGTCATGCTATATAATTCGGAATTGTAGAAAAGGGACAAACGAGATTCGTCATGCAATATAATTCAGAGCGAGGGAGTAAAGGGAACAACGTGATTCGTCATGCTATATAATTCAGAATTGTAGAAAAGGGACAAACGAGATTCGTCATGCAATATAATTTTGAGCAAGGAAGAAAGGGAGCAACCGTGATTCGTCAGTATGCTTAACCGATCACAAAATCCAAATTATAATTTATAGGGTGCTAATATATCTCAATAATGCACCAAAGACCTAATTTAATCGCTAACAATCCTGAATAATTCTGTATATTCATCAACATTTAATATCTAATAATAATAGGTATAAGAGAAGATCACTTTTGAAATTTTCTATGAATATTTCTAATAATAGCTAGCAATAAAGGTGTAGGTGTTACGTCGATGAAATTGGGATCAATTTAATTCATTGAGCTGCTGCTTAGTTGAAATATCAAAATACGTGAAGCCTACAAATGTGCCAGGTACCAAAGATTTTCTTAAATTGAAATATATAAGAAACTTCTGCATACTAGTAAATGAAAAAGCTAGAGACGTGTATCTGTTTTCTGATTCTTAATAAATTTAACTGACATTTATGAATATTATCACTAAATTATATGATAAATGCATATATTTATTAATATT